TGCCATTTAAATATTACGCAATTCTCGCACATCCCGCTTGACATTGGGAAACGAACAGTAAAACCAGTACCGAGCACCGCGTCTAGAAACACTGGAATCGGAGCGTGAATTCGGCGATAACACGATTAGAGAAGAAGCGCTTACAAACACATAACATTATGTTACTTAATGAATGTGCGTCATTCTGCGTACTGAGCCCCGTGCGCGACAAGGCACATGCAAACTGCACCTAGCCTCCAAAAAGTTAAAAACATTACACAAAAACATAAATTTTACTGGCTTAAACCTATGCCGAATTAAGCGAAGAACACTTTCTATCAAAGTAAACTACGACTTTTACTTTACTCTGACGATGTATTCACCGATAATCGATTTTAAGAACAATTTCCACATTCTCTAATGGACTTCGGTACAGCGCCTCTCCGCTCTGCTAGCAACCTAAACAATGAAACCCCCTGCGACCGAGAGGCTGCTTACCTGCAGCTCGGCCCGCTCCACCTCCCACTGGGCCCTCTCCACCTCGAAGCGGGCCCACTCATGCTGGAGAAAGTGTAAAATCCCCGGGATGCTGTACTGAGCCCGGGCCGCCTCTCCGCCGCCGTCCCCGGGCTGCGGAGCTTTAACGTTCCCCGCGCCGGGTAAGCCCGAGCTGCCGCTGGTGTTGAAGAAGACACCGGGGCCCGCCTGCTCATCCATGGCCGGACCGTGAGCGATGCGGGGCGGCTTCAGTCCGGTGCTGACTCCCGCTTCAGTGAAATATCCTCCGCAGGAAAATGCGGTCCATCAACCGAACAACTCCTGCTCGAGCCAGCTGTCAAAGCGGCGGAGAGTCGAGCTGCCGGAACGAACGCAGCAACCACATCCTGTCCGGATTTTCAAAATATAATAGCTGAAGCTCTCTTATTATTGTTATTGTTGTTTTATTTATTAAAATAAACATTAAGTAAAAAAGATATAAACAGATCTGAATTCTGTGTTTGAATGTATTTATTATTTTCCTGTTGATTTCAATATCAATTTAAATAGTAAGCATCCTCCATTCCTAAACTGCTGTTAACTTTAGACTGGCCCAATATAAATAGACTCAAACGACAAAGATAATAATAAGAAGAAGAAGAATACAAAGAGACAATAACAGCAAAATAGGTTGGAAAACAGCACAAAAACTATACATTGGTCATCAGTGATCAGTTAGAATCATAAGTATTCTTTTACGGTCAGTAATTCATTTTTTTCTCCAACAGTTTATGTGAAACAATTCTAGAAATTCAAACTGCCCTGAATTTTCCTGCATGGTTGGCTGGTGGCAGGTGATTGGCAGAGGAAGGTCCAAGTGAAGAAGAGCGCCTGTTACGTAGTCAGTTTGCTATGATTTACCTTGATCTGGTTCAGGTTTATGTTTCCCGGATGATGCTGAAGAGGAAAAGAAACACATTATTTTTCCTAAAAGCTGGTTGTTACAGCAGCTAATTTTAAAGACTAGTCGCCTACAGAGCACAGTGGCTGAAGGCAGTCCTGGTTCCCTTCCATGGAGCATTCTCCCCTTGCTTGATTCTCTGCCCAGGACTCCTGCAAAGAAAAGTCTCAACCTCAGGAGGTTCACTGTGTGGTTAAACCCCCCCCCCCAAGCTGTGTCATCAAGGTTACACTGTAGAGGTCATGAGTTGTTAGGAACTCTGTCTTCTAAATATCTGATGTAATTAAATTTCAATTTTTTAAATGATCCATCCATACCTCTATCTGTCCATCCATCTGCTTCTCTGGCTGTGGCAGTTTAACTATCTAACCCAAGAGGCATCTGAGGCAGATGCTGAACCACCCAGGCACCTCAGCCAGCTCCTTTCAATGTGGGGGAGTAACAACTCTACCACAAGACAAAAACATGTGGTAACTGTGATGAACAAATTCAGTCCTTAAAGAAAAACATTAAACATTTTCTAAATTCTCTCAAAGGCACATTATCAATAATCCTGTTTAATAACTAGGATGAGGGGTGGAGGGGGCTGTCTGCTGCCCTTGGACCTAAAAGCTGCTGGGGCCGGCCCTGCTCCGCACTCTAACCTAATTAAATCCGCACATTCACGCGCTCATGCTGCCATGTGCTAATCAGCTGATGCGCTGCAGCCTCTATTTAACTCGCGCTCGCTGCTTGCGCACATGGACCCGGCTCTACATCACGTACCATGGCTCCGCGCGAGAAAAGTCAGCCGCACATCAAACCGTTCAAGCTGAGGAAGAGTTTAGGTAACCGGCACCGCCGCGAGCAGCAGCAACACTGATGTCCAGCAAACTCACTGTCTCTCTTCTGTCCACAGCAACGAGGAAACGGGAAGTGGCGGGCATCAGGGCCAAGTTCCCCAACAAGGTCCCGGTAAGCGCGCGGTGGGGCTCACGCGGAGTCCGAGA